TATTCAGCTTTTATTTCCTGTTTACTTGCATATTAGATTATTAGTTTACGGTCCATTCATTGGAAACTGGCACCCTAACTTTTTGGTGTCGCTCTCACATAGTTGTAGATATCGTGAAAACAACAGTACATCCTGCATTGTATGACCCGTGCAATTACTCCTTGCAACATTTGAGGCCAGAAAAGTCCAAGAACAGCGAAATAGAAATTCAGCCAGGTTTTACAAAATTAGGACAGGTATGCCGTGGCAAAATGTAGGGAGAAGCAGATCTAAAACCGAGATTTTTGAGATTTAAAGTGGGCTTTTGATCCTCAATTCGGCCCAAATCCGACTTACAAAAGCCAGCGGGACAGTTTCCGATGAATGGACTGTCCCGCAACTTGCGATAAAAACGATTAGCTGTAGCATGTATAACAGTACATATTCATTATCCCACTTTTACGTAGTCAAGTGGTTTGCTTCACTGTCCGAAGAGTGCTCAATACCCATGTACAGTCAATTTCAAAACTATAGACGCGTAGGGTTTTTGAAATCTTTCAAATTTGGCTGGAACGTTTTGAGAATAGTTTTCGGGATATTGCTCAGGTCCGCTCCACAATTGCTCTCATATAGTTTCTAAATGATTGGATAACAGACGCCCAATTTGGAAAACATTATGCACAAAGTGATCATAGATTTTATGTGGTATGGATGCTGGCATAACGGGTTTTGCCTAGGTACGCGTCTATAGTTTTGAAATGGACTGTAGGGCAGAGCCTTGTACACAAGAGAGAGTTTGGAAGCTTTGTTACTACAACTTCTGAGTTTCACGTATTACTACGATCATCAGGCAACCGTTGCCTGATGATCGTAGTAATACGTGAAACTCTGAGTTGTAACACAGCTTCCAAACTCTCAGGCTCTTATTCCACTTTTATGTTTATGTACACAGTAAAACCGGGTTTAAGCGACCACCCCACGGTGCAAGCAAAAGCGGCCGTTAAAGCCAGGTTGTCTTTAGAACCCGGTCCCACAGTGTCCGTGTAGAACTGTCGGTGCATGGAAAAACGGTCGTTAAGAGCAGGTGGTAGCTAAAACCAGAGGTCGCTTACACCAGGTTTTACTGTATTGTCATTCGAATATTCCCAAGTCGTACATTGTACACTGTTGAGATTATCGAATTCAACTAAATCCATACAATACAAAGAAAATGTGTGTATGTCAGGCCAAGTGTGAAAGAGACCTCCCCGACACGCTGGCCACAATTCGCGTACGTGTCCTATACACAATCCTGCCCTGCCCAGTATAGTGCAGGCCCGCCTGAACCGGTCCGGTTGGTCAGGTTATCACCGTACCGACTTTTTGGCCACCAGCAAATGTCTCCTACTGTGGAGGACGTGTGTACCCGCCATATCACACACAAAGTATAAAAGGCCGTGAAACCACTGGACCAATCAAAAACTGCTTCCGGCCGTCCTGCAGTGGGCCTGCCCTGGGTAAGACCGCTTAGAACTGTTAGGCGATTCAGACTATGGCCGAAGTCACGTCTGATCTTGAATTTCCATGGTGATGCAGTCGTGTTTCAAATAATTATGCACAATCTCTGATCAAACACGTCTGAGTCGTAGAAACGTGGTCACAGTTGGCCATAGTCTGAATAGCCTATTAGGAGCTTACCCAGTCACATAGGATGACATCATAGGGTGACATCATAGGGTGACATCATAGGGTGACATCATAGGGTGACATAATGATGATTCATGACACTGGACCCGATCGCCATCAGCAATTATAATGCGACCTACCTGTTTGGCGCTGTGTTCATCCGCTCACATGACGTTGCCATCTGCTCATACACCAAAATCACAAATCAACAGACGAAAACACTATAGTCATACATGCTTGATTTTGAGCATGAGATATCCAAATTTTAAGAGTGCGGATCGGGTAAGTGCGATTTATCTGAACTCTTTACAGTGAGTGAAATCCAGCCGCCTCTGAGTTCGTTGTATTTACTATGCCCGGGTCAGGTGCGTAGCACCGCTGTTGGAGGTGGTCCGGCCGGAGGGGGCCCGGGGGCTTCTCCCCGGGAAAAATTGAAATTTGGGTGCAAAATCATGCATTCCGGGCACCTTTGGCATTGTGTTGAAAAAAAAAGTGGTCTGGCCAAAGCTGGACCGGCTGCTACGCCCCTGTGGGTGAGTGTTTCACCCCTTGCAGTCAGGAACATGACTGCACTGTCTTCAGCATGGCACACAAATCAGGCCGCTGGATAAGAATGTGCTGACAAATAGCATCTAAAGACTGTCTGGTAACTGCAACCTACAAGTGAAGGGCTCTAATTCAAAACAAGATAAATCCATTTTTGTGGAAATTTCAGGAAGTGCATTTTTTCATTTGTTCTTTTTCGGTCTGCACTGCAGCATCAACCGACACACAGATGTCCGCGCGGTGAAAAACGAATTCTTTCGTGACAAAAAAAACGCAAAAGCTCCGGCTAGGTCTTTACATCACGTTTTTGAATTGGAGCCCTTCAAGTGTTAACCCTGGCGGCCATGACACAAACACTGTGAAACAAGAGTCAGAGCATGTACAACGCTACCAAACCTCACTACCAGGCGGGAGATCTCCCGATTTACTTGATCTTTTTCAGTGAAACATCTCCCTATCTCGCAACAAAGAAAACTTCCCTACTCGGGAAAGATTTTCCGCAAGTATGCTAACCATGCATGTCCGCTTCTGCTCTACTACGTGCGCGCGCGAGTCAAGTTTGCGCCTTTCACCATATCGCAGCCCAGTGTCTGCAGGCCTATGGCTGCACAACGCCCGGCGCGTGCTTGAGTGACGCGGCCGGATTCAATTGAGCAGCACAGCACACGACGTGCATACTCTGGTGGACTCGTTGGTGTGTTTGACACTCTGTCCCTATGCATGGTCCACGTGCTTACACGGCATGCCTTTTTTTGCCCCGCCTACATGTTGAGCAGGGCAGGCGACCTGATCCTCCCTACTAGTATTGGTAGCCGAACCTGGACGGAGATCTCCCTACCAAAGCGGCGAATAGAAGCTGGCAGGTTTGCATGTACTGCAGCATGCACCAACCTACAGTGCTTGGAACTGAAATCCGACCCCTGAGCGGTGGGTTCACATTCTAGCGGTCTTTGTTTCGTAGTTTTTCCATCCCGTGTTGGGTCTTTGCGACGTGAGCGCACCGCTCAGGGGGTCGGATTTCAGTTGCCAGCACTGTACATCAATCAATCACACAATCCGTAAATTTCGGCTCACCGTTCTCATTGGCGCACTGCCGGATACTGATTGTAGAGCAGCGCGGTAGCTGCTGCTGCTGCTGCCACCTGGCCCTGTGCGCCCCACACCGGCGCCAGGCCGCCCTCGTGTTGTCGATGCCTGCGCACAGCAAGACACCGTGCAGCTAGTATGCACGCCTCGGACCTGGGACGATGCAGCCGTCGACGTTAGCGATGCAGCTGCTCGACGTGCCGGACTCCGAAGGAACGCCGACGTTGTCGACAAACTTAGCGGTCGTCGAGCAGCTGAAGCGATTCTGGCAGAGCTGGCCATTTCAGCAGCACAGCTAGCTAGGCAACCGGTACGACGAGTACTTCAAGCTCCCGATGTCGGCTCAACCAAACCAAAATTTAGCGAAAACAATAATGACAGCTGTCCTTCAACGACACAACCGATGATAATGATTGAAGTAAGTAATTAGTTGAAGGTAGGTTGCGTCTTGCGAGTGTCGGCGACTCGCCATTTCACCGGCCGAACATGTCAGTGCAGTAGTGCTAGCATTAGCAACCAGATCCTGTCCAGAATCCCCGATCCGATACTGCACGCGACAGCCGACCGCCTTTTTTTACAGAGTCGACTAGTCGTCGACTCCCTCAATACTGACTGGCATTGCTGCCTCAGTCCCTGCTCTGGCATGGCAGGGAAGTGGGGGCTAGCTGTCAAGTGCCATGGCATGAGTTTTAGGGCGCGTTCGAATTGTCACTCTTTGACTTTTCGAGGAGCTTCGTTTTTCTGAAGAGCTGAGATCAGTTCGATCAAGAGTACAGTCTTGGTTCGATCATGACATGGATGGCCGTCAACAGCCAGCCCGATCCGATCCGCCGAACTGAGATTGAGAAGCGGCATGACCCGCCGAAACCGCGCGCGTGCAAGCCGAACGCGAAAAGGTCAGTGCTCGCACATGCACAATCAACAACCAGCATCGAAGCAGCTCCAGCGTGCACCGGGCGCGGGCATCGGCACCGCGTACCGACGGCGCGGTAGGATGGTTACAAAACTAAAATACTTCAAAAGGTGAAAAGGTGAAAGTTTTGCGTTGCACCACTGCATGCACTGATGGTGATGACGCAGATCTTGCATTTGGGGGTTCCCTTTCGCTCCACTGCATGCAGTGACCAGTGTGTGTGTGTGTGTGTGTGTGTGTGTGCATGTGCTTTACGGTTTACCACATTGACCAAGCCTCGGCAGTGTTGCTTTTTTTGAGCATCGAACTGGCAATTTGGCTGTGCGTCGGTGGTATTCAAGATGCTGAGCCTCAGTTCCTTTGCGCGCCGCTGCGCTCTTTCCTCACAGGTAAATTGCATATATTTGGAAACGTCCTTGGCGTTACGTCTTGTGGGTGGCTGTTGGCTGATTTCTCCTAGTTCGCGGCGAGCACTTTTTCAATGCAATTCCGTTTTTGACCTCAACCCAGTTTTTGACTTGACTGCTCTGTGCGTGTGCCTGCCTCTGTACCCATACCCGTGGCTTGTGTATAACCGTGTTTCTGTCTTCTCTCCAACCGTTCCAAGACGGCGGCATGCCTGCGCGCAGCCTCATCCGACGTGTCGGTACGTGCAAAGACGTATTTCTTATTGTTTGTTTGTCAACGCGAAAACGAGTTTCTCCAATACTATTACTCATTGCCGTCGGTGATGGCGCAGCAGATCTTGAGTGGTGGATCAGGAGCACATACTTTATCCTTTCTGAATTCGTTTCCAGACTGTTAGTGTATAGTGTTATTCATTGATTGATGATTGGGAGCTTGAAATGCAAAAATGACCTTTGACTTTATATTATTAATGTTACGTAACCAGTCCTGGAGATGTCCCGGAACCCACCATGCATCTATGGCGGACTATGCTGTTCCCAAGTAATCGTGACACTCTGGGGGGTTATAACTCTTGGTATCACCCATACGTACCGGGGGACCGAGTGTGCTCATCCCTCCGCAGATATGGATACACGCTCTGCACCCAGCATTAGCATCATCCATCACCCAACACTCGGTTTCCTCTTATCTGGGAAGCCGATGCAAAATATGGAATTGGTCTAATAAGACGAGTGTAATTGACTCCAATCGCAAACAATTCCATGTGCGAGCTGATCTGTGCACGCAAATCACAAAACAAAAACCGGTACAACGTTTTCCGCTTTGTACAATGCTGGCCAAAGAAATCCAACCTCATGAATAAAATAGCGTTGCCGGGCACTACGCAGCCCTAGCACTACACATACTGGCTTGTGCACTACGCAGCCCTAGCACTACACATACTGGCTTGTGCACTCGAACGCGGCGCTACTTTATTCATGAGGTTGGATCTCTCTGGCCAACATCGTTGTATCAGCTAGAGGCCAAAGTCTTTCTGCGCCCTGGGTTCAGCCGGAACATAGTGGTGAACGCTAGACTTATGTACAGTAGAGTCGCGCGCTGAAGAACGTGGAGCCCAACAACGTCCAGCCTGAAATGCTAAGAACGCCACAGCCTAAAGTTAATGAGAACGGCGGTGCTGTTTTTCCGGCAGCTTTTGGGATACATAATGATCCAGTACGAATTGTTTCTAAGAACGTGCGATAAGAACGCTGCCAGATTGCTGAAAACTAAGAACGTCCCAGGCTAGTCCCTTGGAAGCAACGTTCTTGGGCACACGACTCTACTGTACGCTGGCACCATGCATACTCACCGATGGCAGATCTACGGGAACGGATGAATTCACGGTGGACATCAAAGCGCCGTTCCTATCAATATTTTACACGAAACGAAAAAAGTTTCGTGGGTGGGTCGAGGAGAGTATTGTTTTGAAAGTACCGTAAAGTACCGCCAGAGCGCCCCACCATCTCGTCTTTTCGTGGTCGTCTTGTGGAGGTGGTTTCCTGTCTGTAGGTCATACGACACGGACCTTTTACACACATTGCACGTTATGCAGACAATCCGTATCCATGGATCCAGTTTACCTTCGAGTGGATGCGAGCTCCACATAAAAACATGCCGAGTGTGACCTTAGTACAAAAATGTTCTCACCGTATAAACTTAGTAGCATTGTGCCATACGATTTTCTTCCCTTGGCTGTAAAATCAAGGTGGGGCGCTCTGGCGAGACGGGGCGCTCTGGCGGTACTTTACGGTATTGGTAGTTGAATGATCAATCCCTTCTAGCTGGCAAGTCAATATATTTTTCGTTCAGGGTGGAGAAGAGTCATCACTAATTTTTTTAGTTTTTGTGAAAATTATGTCAGATGGCCCCTAACGGCGTTCTGCAGGCGAAGCTGTTAGCATGCTGAGCTTGTCCTTCTAGCTCTAACCCTTCAGGATTTGTGTGTTGTGTTCTGTCTGTCCACGTGCACATATTGTAGGGACTGAAGGCCCGCTTGTCGGAGATCATTCCAGCTCAGCAGCAGGAGGTCAAGGCGTTCCGTAAGGAATTCGGAGGCACCAAGATCGGCGATGTCACTGTCGAAATGGTATGTAGTGCGTCCTTGCTGCTGTTTGTTTTGCCTGGTCCTGTCACTTGCCCCATTAGCCGCATCTATGTACCCTTATGCTTGGCCACTAGTTCCCAGTTGACTGTGGGTAGCCGCACGGCTGAGTGGTTGTGGGACGTATCCCTTCACTGCCGTCGCGAATTCCCTTCGTAAACGGACACGATTATTTCATTCTTTTCTTTTTCTTTTTTTTGTCACTTACCCGGCACACCTGTGCGTGCATGTGTGTATGTGTGTGGACGCGTGTGTGTGCACTTCTTATTATTTGTTGTCTGCAGGCGTATGGTGGCATGCGTGGCATCAAGGGCATGGTCTGCGAAACCTCCGTCCTGGATGCCGACGAGGGCATTCGTTTCCGTGGTTATAGGTAAGCCGTGGCTGCGTGCGGTGCTGTATTGTAGTGAGGGTCCACGGGTGTGTGCGTGATCTTTCGTAGCCTAGTCGGTAGGGCACTGCAGGCGAGTAGGTACGGCGTGAGGACACGGCCTGCTGAGGCCGGGAAGCAGTGTAGCAAGGAAGAACAACGGGCGGGTGTGTGATCCCCGGTAGCCTAATCGGTAGAGCACTGTCCCGGAAAGATAGCGGTGCTGGATTTTGAATCTCACCCTTGGATCCTTCTTTTGCAGTTGTGTTTACGATTTGGCTCAGGCCGAGTCATTAGCCTTGGGAGTTGCCATGCAGGGAAATACCCAGATCACAGTACAGGCCGGTACTCTAAGTCAACACATATTCGCCGCATATTAATTTATTTCCGGCTATTTTCGGCCTGATCATATTTGGCCGAAAATTGGTTCTGCAAGATTCAGTGTGACAGGCAGCAGCAGTACGAGTACAGGCCGAAAATTCGTTGCGACCGAAATGTGTTTTAGCCCGGGAGGCTGAAATTTGAACGGGCCGAAAATTTGTCTGCAACTACAAATATGAGGCGAGCCTTTATTCGTGAACTGGATTTTGCTGATCAATCGATTTTCTTCAGGTGACAACTTTTTTCAAGGTTCTGAAATTTGTACATGGCTTGTTACCATGCCATGACAGAAAAAGAAAAAAAATGACTGTATGCTGGTGTGGCAGAAGCCAAGCGCCGGTTTTTGCATGTCGTGGAGCTCGGCTCGCAGGGTGTTCCGTTTTCGTGGATGCGGTGTTCTGACCATTATATGTGTGCGTGTGTTTGTCCTTTTTACAGCATCCCCGAGTGCCAGGACCTTTTGCCCCGCGCTGCTGGCATGGAGTCGGAAGGAGAACCCCTCCCGGAAGGTCTTTTCTGGCTGCTGATGACCGGCGAGGTCCCCACCACCGAACAGGTACAGTGGATACCCACGTGTTCTGTGTGTGTGCGTGCGTGCGTGCTCACTGCCTCTGGTTGTGGACATCCAAAAGTGTGGTTGGCGTTTGCACTTAAAGCTGACTGATGGCTGTTTGTGGCATCCCAGTTGCTGCAATCTGGCCTCTGCACTCACTGTACTGCCATTGCTGAAATTAATCTACCGGGTCAATGTCTCTTACATGTATCCCCGGTCTCCGTGCGATGTGGCATGTTTTGTGTCTGTTCATCTCCTGCACACACACACACGTGTACACATGTAGGTCCACACTCTGCCACAGGAGTGCCCCCCTCCCTTTTGACTCTCCGTGCGCTGTGTCTGTCTTGTTTCTTTTCATCTCCTGCACGCACACGTGTGTTCACGTGTAGGTGTTTACGTAGGTACGCGCTCTGTCACAGAAGTGGGCATCGTTCGCCTCCGTTCCTCCTCATGAGCCCCCTTTGACTCTCCGTGTGGTGTCTCACGTTTTGTGTCTCTGTTGTCCTGTTGTGTCTGTTCATGTTCTGCGCGCACACACACACACACACACACACACACACACACACACACGTGCAGGTCCGCGCTCTGTCGCAGGAGTGGGCGTCGCGCGCCTCCGTCCCGCCGCACGTGGTCTCGCTCGTCACTAACCTGCCGTCCACGCTGCACCCGATGAGCCAGTTCTCCGCGGCCATCGCAGCCCTGCAGTCCGAGAGTCGCTTTGCACAAGCCTACGGCGAGGGTGTGCACAAGAGTACATACTGGGAGCATTGCTACGAGGACGCAATGGACCTCATCGCCAAGCTGCCCACCGTCGCCTCGCTCATCTACAAGGTAGGTGCATGTTTTCGATTTCGACGGCATGTTACAAGGAGAGGACCCACAGTTCTCCTGACTACAGCCATAACCCGGTTGTTGGCGGAGTCCCGGTCCTGCGACCGTTTGAACCGTATTCGGAAAGCCCCGGTTCGGACCCTCTTTATTCTAGGGGGTGGTTGAATGTGGAATTTTATCTTTTTTGCTGATGTTGTCTATAGTGGGTACAGTACCGCTGCATACGCCGTAGAAGTTTTCGTCTACAGTCCATCCAGAACAAAGATGACCATCTTGCTTATGGAAAAAGACCAAGGAACTACAAGTTACGCTGTAATGCCCACTAACACCAGCAGTTATTCAACAATCAGCTCATGCAATAACGTTGCACGACACTGACCGAGCTTGTAGTTCCTTGGTCCTTTTTCTTTTCTATAAATTTATCCTTGGCTCTCCACCCGAGTCCCTATCTTGTTAATGGCTATCAACAAGAGTACATAACCGCCAAAGAGTGTGCAACTGCCTGCACCACCTCTATACAGTGCTGCGACGGCAGAACTTCACATCACGTGACCTGGTTCGAACAGGTTACGCTGGCAAGCTTTATTTTTAGGTACATTATTGAACGAGAAAGTGCCTACTGCATATGATTGTCAAGAAAAGGCTTCAGCCGCCTTTCAACTGGAGAACGGAAGACAGGACTTTTCAGTTCTCACTGTTTTGGCGTGTGTGTCTGTCTGTGCGTGCGTGTCTAAAATTGATCGTGGCCAATTCATCGGCCTTGCAACGTAGCTTGTTCGCTATCGTCGCTTCAGCGATGGACAGGTGTAAGTGTGTGTGTGTGTGTGTGTATTGATACAGCCAGTGTATGCCGGAGTATGTGGTGTGGTGTGTGTGTAGAAAAAAAATGGAAAAATGAAAAATAGGGATTCACTGGCCAGAAAAAGTCACTTCAAACAGCTGTGTGGTGGAGACCAGGCTAAAAATAGTGGCGGTCAATTCATCAGCCTTGCAAGCTGTTGAATGGTGTAATCCCAGCACAAGTTGCTATGTCTAACATAGCTGTTCGCTATCATCGCTTTCGCGATGGGCATGTCTGAGGTCTGAGGTCTGATATGTCTGTGTGGCTCTCTCTCTCTCTCTCTCTCTCTCTCTCTCTCTCTCTCTCTCTCTCTCTCTCTCTCTCTCTCTCTCTCTCTCTCTCTCTGTGTGTCTCTATGTCTGTATTGTTTGCACACGTCACCAGGTGATCTACAAGGACGGAGACGTCACACCGATCGACTCCAACCTCGACTGGTCTGCCAACTTCGCCAACATGCTGGGATTCCGCGACTCCGAGTTCCACGAGCTGATGCGCCTCTACCTGACCATCCACTCCGATCATGAGGGTGGCAATGTCAGTGCACACACATGCCATCTGGTCGGCTCGGCTCTCAGCGACCCCTACCTCAGCTTCAGTGCGGCAATGTGCGGTCTGGCTGGCCCCCTGCACGGACTGGCTAACCAGGTACGGTGTGGACTGGTCGGTGTGGTCAGTGTGTGCGTGTTTTTGTGGGCGGGTGAGTGGGTGTTTGTTCTGGTCTGGTCTGGTCCGTGTAATGTGTGGATGGGCTGCTCTGGTTTGTAGCTAGTTCGCGTCAGCTACTATTAGCTTGTTGTGGGGGGGGGGGGGGGGGGGGGGGTGGGTCTGTTCCCCTGTCCATCTGTCTTGTCCAGTCGTAGGTTGAGAACTATATCTCTCTCACTCTTGCTCTCTCTCTCTCTGCTATTTTTGTGTGTCAAATCACCTTTTAGGAAGTGCTTGTGTGGATCACGGAAATGCAGTCCAAGCTCGGAAGCAGCCCATCCGATGCCGATGTTGCGCAATACGTCAAGGACACGTTAGCTTCTGGACGAGTAAGTCTCGCGTGCGTGTGTGCGTTTGTGTGTGTGTTGGGGGGAGGGGGGGGGGGGGGGGTGTTGGTTTGGTTTAGGGATTCACGGGCCAGAAAAAGGCCACTTCATAGCTGTGCGGTGTAGACCAGGCTGAATAGTGGCGGTCAATTCTTCAGCCTTGCAAGCTGTTGAATGGTGCAATCCCGCCGCCAAGTTGCTATGGCTTCTGCTGTAGCATCGCTATCATCGCCTCCGGCGATGGGCGTCAAATGGTCCATGGTTGGTTTTGCCCGCCTTGTCGAATGCCATGGTACTGTAGGTTCATTGGAACTTTCTTGTTTCATTCACTGGCAGCAGCCCTAGTGACATGGTCTATACAGACCATGATAGACAACATAGAGGGTAGCAGGTTTGAGTCCTGCTTGGAAGTGGATGGGTTTTTTTTCAAGCTGTGCTGCGACCTACAACTAATTGGGAACTTGGCGTAGCACGTGGGAAGCATGGATGCGGTGAATGGGATTTTCCGTCTTTGACCACTTTGCTGGTGGTCTGGTCTACTTACCTCCCGCCGCTTTAGGAGCTGCGTCTACGCCTTTGATCCTTCAGGGTGGTGGCGTTCCTGCAGATGCAGACAGCTCAGCCTAACTAAATCGTGCGAACTGTGAATTTCTTTGGGTCCACTCCTTGCTCCATCTTTCACACATGTCCATTGTGTTCCATTCAAAAAATCTATCTTGTGCGTGTGTTTGTGTGTGTGTGTTCAGGTTGTGCCTGGATATGGACACGCTGTGCTGCGCAAGACTGACCCGCGCTACACGTGCCAGCGCGAGTTTGCTCTCAAGCACTTGCCCGACGATCCTCTCTTCGACCTCGTCTCCAAGGTCAGTAACGCCTGTGTTTGGGTGGGTGTATTGTCAGTGTTTCAAGGTGTAATTGGGTGGGTGTTGCGGGGGGGGGGGGGGGGGGGGAGGGGGCTTGGTGGTACTGGCATGTACCACTCTGACTTGTTGCTTTCCTGTTGGTTGTGCCAATTCTGAAAACCTATATCTTTTGTCACTGTGTGGGTGTGTATTTTGTGTGCATGTTCATGATAGGCATCCATTTGCCTCTGGAGAATCCTTGAAAATATTATCAATAATAATGTACTTGTGTGTATGTGTGTGCTTGTGTTGATGGACAGGTCTACCAAGTCGTGCCGCCGATCCTCACCGACCTTGGCAAGGTCAAGAACCCGTGGCCCAATGTGGATGCACACAGCGGCTGCTTACTCCAGGTACCGTGCACCTGCTCTGGAATCTGTGCTCTGTTCTGCTCCGTATGTGTGTGTGTGTGTGTGCGTGTGTCAGAGAGAGACAGGGGGCACTATGTATTCTCACTGCGGGGAGTGACTTGGAAGAGGGAGCAAACTCTGTGGGTTTTTTTTGTGATAAATTTCTTGTTGCGGTGGATGTCAATGGAATGGCCTTACCGAAAATACAGCGAAGTGCATTGCCTGTATGTGCTGCCAGGGAACGGCTTCAGTATGACCAAGAGTACATGCTAGTAGCCCCCGAGAGTGTGCAACTCCAGATGTGAAGTTCTGCCTTCGCGGCACTGTATAGAGGTTGTGCAGGCAGTTGGACACTTTTGGGGATTATGTACTTTTGGTGTGACTGAGACCAGGACGACCAAGGACAGTGTGTTGAAACCTGGACGTAGAACTAAAGATGTCTGTCTGTCTGTCCGTGTCTGTCTGTATTTCGTTTATCTGTCCCGCACACAGCACTACGGCCTGAAGGAGATGCAGTACTACACCGTTCTGTTTGGAGTGTCTCGCGCCCTCGGCGTCCTCTCCTCCCTGGTCTGGGACCGCGCTCTCGGTCTGCCCATCGAGAGGCCCAAGAGCATGAGCACCATTGGGCTCAAGAAACTCGTCAACGCTAAGAACAACTAGACGATGACGTCGTGATCCGTATCCAATGACATCATCAACATGCAATTACATCATCCTCGTGATGCGTCGCGGCTATCCAGCGTGTCGCTCACTGTCATGTCGCCGACGTATACATTGCTGTAGCTTCTTTCTTTCCGGTTGCATTGTACGTGATCATGTTTTGTATCTCGCCGTGCCTCTATCTCTCTCTCCTCACCCATCACTTGGCACACTTGCGATTGTCCGCGCCCCTGCTCCGCTCCGTATTTGAGTTTCACCGCTCTCTTCCTTCCTCAGCCGGTGCTGGTGCCGAGTAGAATTTAAGCAGCTTATTTCCTCCGTGTGTTGCATGCGAGAGCGTGTTGCTCTTGCGTTCTGTTTGTCCCTGCAGACAGGGTGTACGTTTTTTTGCGAAGATTTCGTTGTGCGTGTACTTCCACTGTCAGGTCGTTCTTGGTGTTGCGGTGCTGTGCAACGCTCCATCGTGTATCCGTGATGTGTTCTGTGGCAGCTTCCGTGCATGTGTGTGTGCATGTGTGTGCAGATCTCTGTGTTTCTCTTGCGATGGGGGTCTGCATGGCACATGGTGTGCATGAGTGATAGCAGATAAGGCCGTACGTAGCATTGCTGTTCCCACTCCCAATCCGGAGGTGGAGGAATGGTGGAGGTGGCTCAACACTCCCAGTCTGTGTTGGATACAACAACAGCTGATGGCAACGATGACCTCTCTGCTGCACATGTTCCCTTTCAGTCAGTGCCACAGCTCGGGCCACACCGTGTGTGAGCGCGTGCCTAAGCGTGGATGCATTTACAGCCAGGGAGCACTCCCTGTCCCTGCTACAAGTAAGAGTTCATGAACTCTTGCTACAATATATGAGGCTGTGTAATGCTGTGGATTTGATGCCCAGCCCATGCCGCATCTCTCCTAGATCCTGCTCTCTAGCTTCACTCGATGCGTACAAACAATTCAAAAAGGTTATGGAGTCTTGTCTTGTTGCCAACACTCCCAAAGTGTTGTTGGGGCTTGTTGAAAGGTTTGGAAGTTGCATTCACTGCAGAGCTACATAGAGTCTCTCTCTGAATCAATTCCCCTGGGCCCTGGCCGTGCAAAATCATGTTCCCGCGTGGGAACGTTGGCGGGAAAAGTTCAAGTTTTGTTTAAATGCACGTATAATCAAGAGTTTAATTCCCGTAGCTATGCAGAAGACGTTACTTCAGTAACGTCTGGCGCTAGCCAGGGTCCACACAGCTTTAATTTGGTATTTGTTTGTTTGTGTGTTTGTTTGTTTGTTTGTGTCACGCCTGGCGCTATCCCGTATCTGTACAGCTGTGACTACAAAGGCTCTACAGGATTGTACAAAACAGCTGTCCACAATATTTGCGGGCTCCTGTATCTGTCCCGTACCGTACCAATATTCGTCATATTATGTATACGACTCCCTGATGTAGAGGGAGATTTGGAATGAAATAGGGAGACGAGGAGGAAATTAAATTAGAATAGACGCCGAATAGGTGATAGGATGCGTCAGCATAAACAGCGTCAGCATAAACATACATGTACTTTGGAAGAGAGATCGCGTCATCTCCAAAATAAGCGTGAACGAGCGATTCAGCGCCGGTCACAGGAAACGTCGGAAGAGAGATCCCGTCGACTCCAGAACGCCCGTAATCGGCAGAGTCCGCCGGTCCCAGGCAACGTCAGGACAGACATCCCGTTGAGTCCAGAACGCCCGTGATCGGCAGAGTCTAAGCCGGTCCCAGGAAACGTCAGGACAGACATCCTGTCGAGTCCAGAACGCCCGTGATCGGCAGAGTCAGCGCCGGTCCCATTGAACGTCAGGACAGACATCCCGTCGACGCGCAGAAAAACTAAATCTGCAGCCTCTTTTGCTGTCGGACAGGATACGTATTATAGGAGACTGTAAAGTTATGTAATGTCCAAATTTCCACGTGAGCAGCAGGTCACTCGCGTTGATTTTTCGACGTGCGAGCCAAATAACGCGAGCTGAACTTTCGCGTCGCAGACATCCCGTCGACGCGCAGAAAAACTAAATCTGCAGACTCTTTTGCCGTCGGACAGGATACTTATTTTAGGAGACTGCTAAGTAATAGTTATGTAATGTGCTCCACAGGCAACCATGCATTCGGCGTCGTCATTGGCTCAACAGGTCAATGTACATGTACATGTATTACTACAAAAAAGGCCAGAAAATCCGATTACTGTATTAAAATATTAACTGGTTTGAGGGAAAGAGACAAACGGGAAAGGTCTGAAGAAAAAATTGACCGTCACCACCAGGACTCGAACCAGGGACCCTCGCTTGTAGCCAGCGATGCTCTAACCACTGAGCTATGGTGTAGTCGTCATCCCAGCAGAGGCCGTTCAACATTTTCTTCAGACTTCGTAACTCACACTTCCTGTGAATCTACACAGGCGGGTGGGACGCAGCCCTCACTGTAACCCACACACTTCACGTACAAACTAGCACGCGGGGAGCCCCAAGTCATAAAATATTAACTGGTTTGAGGGAAAGAGACAAACGGGAAAGGTCTGAAGAAAAAATTGACTGTCACCACCAGGACTCGAACCAGGGACCCTCGCTTGTAGCCAGGGATGCTCTAACCACTGAGCTATGGTGTAGTCGTCATCCCAGCAGAGGCCGTTCAACATTTTCTTCAGACTTCGTAACTCACACTTCCTGTGAATCTACACAGGCGGGTGGGACGCAGCCCTCACTGTAACCCACACACTTCACGTACAAACTAGCACGCGGGGAGCCCCAAGTCATAAAATATTAACTGGTTTGAGGGAAAGAGACAAACGGGAAAGGTCTGAAGAAAAACTTGACTGTCACCACCAGGACTCGAACCAGGGACCCTCGCTTGTAGCCAGCGATGCTCTAACCACTGAGCTATGGTGTAGTCGTCATCCCAGCAGAGGCCGTTCAACATTTTCTTCAGACTTCGTAACTCACACTTCCTGTGAATCTACACAGGCGGGTGGGACGCAGCCCTCACTGTAACCCACACACTTCACGTACAAACTAGCACGCGGGGAGCCCCAAGTCATAAAATATTAACTGGTTTGAGGGAAAGAGACAAACTGTATTAAAATCAACTAATTTTCGCTGGCGATTTAATTTCGCTGATTTCGCCGCTTGGTACCAACCGGCCAAAGTAAATCACAGGCCAAAGTTTGTCATATAGGAAATTGATGCATTATTGAGCAATGGATGCATGTGAGAGCAAAAATACCTATCGATTTCAAATTTGACGTGAAATTGCGCGTCACGTCGGAAATAACGTGCATCTTAACCTCTCTAATAGAGAGGTTTCTAATTTTCTCATCAGCCAAAATTTGTTGATTTACAGTATAAGGAGATAAAAGAAAAAAAGGAGCAAACCAAAAGAAGATAATTATTAGAGAAATAACAATCCGCAATAAATTCTGCAAATACTTTTGCCTCAGTTCTTATAACATGTACGATGAGCTAGGCAAAAAAGCATAAAAGCATAGCGTAGGGCCCTGAGCTTCCAAGCTCTCTCGTATGCATGTACCGGTACTGGTACTCTTGGTATAACGTTAGGTTTTGCAATTATTTCATGTTGATGGCTATTGGATTGGTACATGGTGGGGTTGAACCAGGGAGCCCTACACATGTACATACCGCTATGTCACCGTAGGGCTCCCTGGGTTGAACCGTGCTGCTGGTTCATTCTATTAAATTTCCAATTGAATTCTTTTATTGCACTTTGTTAGATGTTTGGAGACACTCAATCAGTCTCAAACTGCGGTTATCCGAGCCCCGAAGTAATAGTTACGGCCACTTCGCGATTCGGTCTACCCTTCGAGCGAGTTTCAGTGGAAATATTAGTTATAATTTTACTGTTTTATCACTTTTTGTGGAAGAAGTGAAGTCACATGCCAATGCATTAATGATGCCATAACTTTCCCCATCAAAATTGTATGTGATTCGAAGTTACGGACATTGTGCTCTGGGATCTACAGGGAGTGGCAAGCAGGGAGTCGTAAAATACCATATAATTATAGGTATTTTACGACTCCCTGGTGTCAAGTCCCTTGTACTACGGTAAGTTGTTTTTTTAATTTAATTTTTTAATTTAATTTTTTAAACTTGAATGTGAAGCGTCCTTCAAAATTTTAATTTTTTTTAAAATTTAATTTTTTAATTTTAAAAGCCTCTTTTGATGGGCGAACAAAACATAATTCGGTTAAAGTTGTAGGTCTACGACTCGTGGATCGTAGACTCTACCATCGTCATCTCTCGCAACAACAGGGGCTACAAAAAAATATACAGGGGGCTTGTACATAGAACCAAGAGTGCATAATGGACTCTTGATAGAACTCCTTTGTCGACATCGATACGGTACATCGTGTGCATGTGGTGGTTGAAGGCCGTACGTATTGTAGGTGTTTTTTTTGTAGTGTAAAACTCTCTCATGAGACATATTTTCCACACCTGAGTTTTTTTCCTCTTAATCATACCTGTCTCATCATAACCTCTTTGATGGGCAAAAGCAACACACTTTGATTGTGTTGCTTTTGCCCGTAGAAGAGGCTGTTCTTCATTCGTTCTTTAATAATAATATCTTTATTAGGATGACCCAGAGGCTTGTCGCCTATCAAGGGGTTCACCGCTTTGAAGGATGTACATGTACACGTATGAGCTAAAGTGAAAGTAGTGAAAAGTTGTGCAGCGTGAATGCGTTGGGGAGCACACGGGGGGGGGGGGGGTTATGTACATGGCGTAGGCATACCGGAGAGCGAAGCACTATGTTTGCAAGTGAGTTTGCGAAGCTCATTCTTGAAAACAATAATGGATGGTTCTGCAGTTAGTCTTGGTGGGAGGCAGTTCCATAAGAGGGAGGTTTGGAAGAGAAACAACGATTCTGATGTGGTCTTTGCTTTAGGGAGAATAATTTTGTTAGGGCGTCTCGCACTCTGCGTGATATTGAAATGGAATGAAGCTAGGCAACGTCGATACTTGAAAATAAATTTGTGCATGGTAACCAAGCTTAAAAACTGCCTGCGGTAAAGAAGGGATTCAATGTTAGCTTTTTTATTAAGATCCTGCTTGGGTGTATTAAAGTCGATTTGGATTTTGCGTTTCCTAAGGTAGGATCTTGCAAACCTGGCCTGGACTCTATCCAGCTCAGTCAAGTCGCTTGAACGAAGACGAAAGGACCACACTACGACGCTATACTCAATCACAGGTCTAACATAGCACTTGTAGAGGAGCATCATGGCCTGCGGTGTAAGACGATGTGCCATGTGACAAAGTAGGCTTACTCTCTGCTTGAATTTGCGACTGATGTCAAGGTAGTGTTGACGGAAGTTTAGGTCTGCACTGAAGCGAACTCCCAGATGTTTGAGGATGTCAATACTGGGAAGAGGTAGACCCTCCATAGTGTAGGTGGCAGATGTTTGGTGCCGGTGATGATGCTGCCGCTGGCTTATAACGGAAGCT